GTCTTACAGGAACCATTAGAATCAAGTAGGAAACCGGAGTACCGACCAACACCGTGAACCCTATCACCTTATAACTTGTATAACCTCATCAAACCCGATATTATCGAGCCCCAACCCGAAACCCTCCTAAAATCTAAATCTTCCCGGGTTTCTCTTATGTGCACCAGTGGCACCGGCCCCAGGTTGTTCGAGCTTCGAGCTCACATCGGCGGGTCCGCAGGCTTTGCCTTGCGCTTCGGCTGCGACTCGCGGCGTAGGCCTTGTAGGCCTTGGATCCTTGGCAGAGAGAGAGAGATAGAGAGAGAGAGAGAGAGAGAGAGAGAGAGAAGAGAGAAGAAGGAGAAGAAGGAGAAGAAGAGATATACAGACAAGTGGAATGAGAGACAGAGAGAGAGAACCCAGACACCGAGAGGAGAACTAAATTACTGTCCCAAACCTGAATTGACGCTAGCCTTTTGCAGACAGAACTCAAGCTGTTGGCAGTTTTGAGGTGCGTCTTCCAGGCGTCCACGAAGGGGGTAACCTCGCGAGTTCGCATGATGCGTTAAGAGGCAAGAGATACATGCGTAGCGGGAGCATTCAAGAGCCAAGCAGCGGTCAGGAGAAGCATTTGGACGTCAGCGGCCGCGGGGGAAGTCCCCATGTTTTGCATCTTCTTTCGTCCATCGGTGATGCCCGCAACAGCCGCCTCGATCATCTCGATCAGCGGCTGCTGGCTCTTCAGAGGCTCCAACCTAAAAGTCTAGCGCTCACAGGATTCGACCGCAGTTTGGATCAATGGCAGACACGGAACTCTGCGGTCAATCGGACCGCCTGGCCCTGCGCGTTCGTGGCCGCACTGATCCAGCTTTTCACGAAAGCATTGACACCCTCTTGCGAGGATTCCATGATGTGCACCTCCATGTCGCTGCCCTCGGATGGATTCAGGTTTAGAGAGAAGCCTGGCATGAATCAACAGTGTCTCTGTACGTGTGTTTAGGGTCTAGGGCTATACTGCTGGCCAGTCGCAGGGGGCTTCGGGGCTCGGGCTTTTTTCTTGGGCTGGGCAGTAGTCTCATCCCCTCCCTCTGCTTCCTGCTTCACCAGTGCTGGAGTCTTGGCCTTCCCTTTAGGGGGAGGGGTTGGATCGGCATCTGTGGGAGGAGTACCCGGCCACGCTGGCTGCTTCGCGAAAGGGTTGTGGCTGATCATGCTCGCCACGCTCGTCGCATAAGCAGGGTCCAGGCCCATGGAGATGGCGATTTCATCCTCGGATCAACTGATGATGTTTGCTTCTGAGCAATAGCTGACCACAAGACTTTAAGACGCCGAGTCTCCAGAGTCCTGGTTGTCACAGTCCGGGCTTGCTCATCCCACCACAAAAATGTTTCCACGCTGGGATCATTTCTGTCAGTCGACGTCCTGCGGCCACGCACGTGTACAGTATGTATGTTTGCACATGCATGCATACGTGTGTGCATCTGAGTCCATGCCGGGTCCCTTTGGGCTCGGCTCGTCTGCGCAGCACGAAAGCTGTGGCGTTGTCCACATTGTTCTTGTGCAGCTCCAAGATTTTAGCCCAATCGTAGTATTTTCCTGAGAACTAAGTCCGATATGTTTATGTGTGGTGTGTTTGCAAATCCCTATGTGTGTTTCTATGTTTTTAGTGTGCTGGTTCCTGTTTCGGGACCTGTGCATGTCTGAGCTAGGCTCAGTGTTCATGACTATAGTGACTATACATGAGCAAAAAGACAGAGACACACGCGCACAGCAACACATGCACATGATTATATTAGACAAATATATGCATTCTAGTGGCCCTGATCTTTGTCTTCCTCTTCCTTCTGCCGGCTGAAGCGCATCACGGCTTCCATGGCCAGCCCATCACCTTAGATGCTGCTGTTCCGTACTCTAGTCATAGTTCAACGTTAGCCTCTCCACATAGTACACGTGAACCCTCTTGAAGTTACCAGCATGAACCCTGGACCCTGAAACTGACTTTGACAGTTCTCAGGCAAAGAACAGCCGGCTTTCACGAACTGATTAAACACCGACAGCCGACGATCTCCACCGTTCCTTACATTGGAAGCGGCACACGGCAAGGAATGTTGTACTGCACCAGAATTTGCTAGAACGTTGTTTCTTGCGGAACTGAGACAAAGGCTGCCAGACAGTGCGCAGTTCGCTGGCCCATTCGTTCCTCTCGCAGAAACGTCGATAGGCTGCCCACTCAGTGGGATTTGTTTTGCTGTTGCAAACACCCTCCTGCTGCCGCTGCGGCGTTGCTGGCAGGGCTTGTGGGGGAGCCTTGGGCGGAGGGCCGCAGCTGGGTGCTTTGGCAGGTGCTGCGGGCACGAGGGCGAGCTCCAGACCTGGCGTCGGCACGTTCGCAGGAGCCGGCATCGTAGTCTGCGGCGGGGCAGGGATTGGCATCGGAGCAGTGGCAGCCGCAGGGGCAGGCACTGTAGCAGTAGTCTCTGCGATTGCTGCCTGCAGTGGC